GCTGTGTTCACTAAACAGAGATGTTTCCATTTAGGTTTGTGTGAACCCAGTGTGTTAGCTTGAGAGTGAGATGTTCTCTTCAAATGCGTCCTGTATTTATTCTTTTTTTTTTCTTTTTTTCTTTACCATACTTTTCAAAAGGTTTTAAATGTTTTTAAAATAAATATTTTAAGCTCACCAAGGCTGCATTCATTTGATCAGTAAAAACAGTAATATTGTGAAATAATTTTACTGTTTAAAATAACTGTTATCTGAATATATTTTAAAATGTCATTTATTTCTGTAATGGCAAAGCTGAATTTTCAGCATCATTACTTCAGACTTTAGTGTCACATGCTGCTCAAGAAACATATTCTTTATTATTATCAATGTTCAAAACAAATGTTGTTACTTAATATTTTTCTGTTTCTCACAATTCTTTGATGAATAGTTCAAAAGAACAGCATTTATTTGACAGAAATCTTTTGTGTCATTATAAATATCTTTACTGTGTCACTTTTGATAAATACATCCTTTCTGAATAACAGTATTAATTTCCCTCCAATAAATAAATAACTGGCATCAAACTTTTAATATAAAAGTTAAATAAAAAAAAACAATTTATACACATTTTATGTGTTTTTTTAAATGTAAAATGCGTGTAAAAGTTAAATAAAAAATAATAAAAATTTTCACAGGTTTTAGAATTTTTAGATATCCCAAGTGATGACCCGAAATTCAAATTAATGCAGACATTAATATTGTTAGATTTTATAAATAAGAATAATTGCAATCTAGGTGATTAGGTTAAAGCATTTACATGATAATTTCATCTTCTGAATATTCCTTTTCATGTAAATGCAGTTGGGTGTTCGTGTTGTGTGGTTCATTGTTTCACTGTTACACTGATAAATGTAAAGCAGAATATATTTTGGGCCCATTTAAGGAATCTTTGAAATCAATATTTGACTTAATCTGACAGGATGGGCTAGATTAGAGTGCCATCATCACATCTATGCCATCATAGCCATAGTGAAGCTTGATGGAAATATTGGCATGCATGCTAGTAATACAGTATCTGCCTAGAAAAGCCTCTCTGTCAACAAGGTTTACGAATCGCTTTTGTTATACACTGTACCTGCGTTATCCTACGCTTTTATCACAGCATAGCAGAAATACCAGAACTACTGGCGAATTACATCTGAATTAGATGTTGCCGTTCCTCTTTATTGTTGTAGAAGTGTTTCCTCCTTCTTTATTATTATCAATGTTCAAAACAAATGTTGTTACTTAATATTTTTCTGTTTCTCACAATTCTTTGATGAATAGTTCAAAAGAACAGCATTTATTTGACAGAAATCTTTTGTGTCATTATAAATATCTTTACTGTGTCACTTTTGATAAATACATCCTTTCTGAATAACAGTATTAATTTCCCTCCAATAAATAAATAACTGGCATCAAACTTTTAATATAAAAGTAAAAAAAAAAAAAAACACAATTTATACACATTTTATGTGTTTTTTTAAATGTAAAATGCGTGTAAAAGTTAAATAAAAAAATAATAAAAATTTTCACAGGTTTTAGAATTTTTAGATATCCCAAGTGATGACCCGAAATTCAAATTAATGCAGACATTAATATTGTTAGATTTTATAAATAAGAATAATTGCAATCTAGGTGATTAGGTTAAAGCATTTACATGATCATTTCATCTTCTGAATATTCCTTTTCATGTAAATGCAGTTGGGTGTTCGTGTTGTGTGGTTCATTGTTTCACTGTTACACTGATAAATGTAAAGCAGAATATATTTTGGGCCCATTTAAGGAATCTTTGAAATCAATATTTGACTTAATCTGACAGGATGGGCTAGATTAGAGTGCCATCATCACATCTATGCCATCATAGCCATAGTGAAGCTTGATGGAAATATTGGCATGCATGCTAGTAATACAGTATCTGCCTAGAAAAGCCTCTCTGTCAACAAGGTTTACGAATCGCTTTTGTTATACACTGTACCTGCGTTATCCTACGCTTTTATCACAGCATAGCAGAAATACCAGAACTACTGGCGAATTACATCTGAATTAGATGTTGCCGTTCCTCTTTATTGTTGTAGAAGTGTTTCCTCCATGAACTCTGGGAAATGGGGTTACCTATCCCATCACATCAGAGCTCAAATGGAGACATATAAACATATAATCAAAACCCTGAATAAAGGGCTGGCACTCAGTGCATAAAAACAGTCAGCTGCTTATTACAAGTGTAGCGGAGCCATGCAGATGGCTTGGCCTCTTCTGGAAGCACCAAATGGCAACATTCCAGTATATTTATGACCTGTTACACAAACTCCCCTGAGCACACACACAAAGTCTTTCTTTTTGCTTTGTTATATGGTCGTGTTATCTTGAAGATGTTTTTTTGACAACACAGCACAATTTGCCTGATGTTTCCAGAATGGACATGAAATTTATTTGCGGTGCTTTTATTAGATTTTTTTAATAGCTATCAAATTAGCAGTGTTGAGGAAACTGCTTTGAAACTGCAACTTGTTAAGATGCTCATAAAATAGTTAAACTACAGCCAAGCTACACTTAGAGCAATTGTAGTGCAGGTTAACTAAAAATAGATTTTTGAGAAAAAAAAAATCTTTCTGGAAGTTAATTGTCTTAATTCTGCAATTAGACTATTTATCTGGGACAAAACTCCAGAACTAACTAATAAAACTAGAAAATGCGTTTATATAACAGAGCCGAATATATTGTTTAAATAAATATTTTGGTTTTAAATGAATTGGTGAATCATTTAAATTAATCAATGAATTGTTTGTTTAAATCAGTGAATCGTTTATTTAATCAGTGAATCGTTTATTTACATGAACCATGTGAATGAACTGATTCACCAAATCGAATCCGATTTCCCAATGCAACATTTGAGAGAGAGGGCAAAGTTCAATCTGCTATAAAGCTGAGTGATGAAAATGTGATGAAAATAACAGCGATGGAGCCGTTTGTCATGCTACACCGCTGCTGGTATATCCGCACTGTTTTGAAACTGCTGATGTGCTGTGGTCAAGTTAGTAGCATGCTGCTTTTAATTATTTACACCCTAATGGTGCAACTGAATCAAGGACCTATTGTGTTTTTGTTAGCCTCAAGACCCGATTTCTGGTTGCATTTGCAGAAATGTATGATTCTAACAAATATTGCATACAACAGTTGATGAAATATTAGTAGACTTCACCTCTTCGTCGCCTACACTCTGTCAACACTTCTCGTGATCCTCACATCCAAGAGACACACGTTCACGTACAGTAAAGAGAAGAAAAGAAAACCTTGGGAACCTTCTGATGGAGAGACGCTCACACCAGTTGCTCCTTCACTAGCAGTATGTCACCAGGCAAACCCGATCTCCAAACCTTTGTATGGCAGTTACTAGCAAAGTTTTGTTCTAGTATCTGCAACAGGAGCCAGAAGACTGTGGCTTTCCTCTGGTACTTCCACACAGAGACTCCACTGTGCTCAGGACAGCTCATCCAGAATTACGATCAGGTTCTAGTGGTGCAGCAGCTTGGCCCGTTTTCTCCAAGCCTTGTTCGGCGTCACCTTGCTTCAGCGAACACACTCTGAAAGCTCCCTCGCTGCTTTTTACTCCAAAGCACCAACCGAAGCACCTTGGTGGAGCACCTTGGTGCCACTTTCCTGGCACACGGAGATGTGGCTTGTCATATCCCATAAGCCCCCATAATAAAACTTCAATTACCTTCCCATATTGTGTGTCTTGGGCAATGCTCTGTGGTATCAAGCAGGGCGCCGAGGGAGATCTTTCCACAACGCTGTGTTATTACTCATTTAAAGACATTGGTGTTGGCATTGTCAGTGGTACATCTGTTCTCCAGGGTAGAGGTGCAGTTTTTCCCTTTTTTTTTAATCAAGTCAAGATGGTGAACGGTAACTGATCCCGGCCGCCACGCTGCCAGTGGGCAATTCACCGACAGCGGCCACGTAATCAGGAAAACTCTCGTGCTCTAACACTCGTTGGGGCCGAGTGACCGCAGCATCTAGGCCTGTTGGTACGACACTTCTCAGAAATGAAAACGGCTTGAATGCTCTTTTAATTGATTTATTCCTTCCTTTTTGGTAGTGCTTCATGTTCCTGCGGGTTTCCATGCCACAGCAAATGGAGGAGGGAATAGGATAATGAGAAAAATCCCAGAGCTCAAACACAAACATACTGCCTTTCATTTGCAGCACAGCTTGATCTGTGGAGATCAGTCCTGCTTCCTTCTGTTGTCATTTATAATAAGCTAGACCATTTTTGGCTCTTCTCATTGACCCTTCTGTTTGTACTAGACTGCTTATATGTGTGCGAAAGAAGAAAAAAACTCTAAAACAGTATTTGAGGAAGAGATTTTTGAGTCTACTTGTGGCCTGGCAATATTAGTTGGTATTTCATATGATCTTTTTTGGTTTCACCCATTCCTAATTAAAATATATTGAAATATAGTTGCTTTTTCAAATTTAAATCAATTCCAATACAGTCAGCCTGTGATTTGATTTCATCAATCATACATAATGCCACATTATTTTTTTTATTCTATTTTGTTTTATTTTTATTTAACTTAATTTTATATTTTATTTTATTATTTAATTTAGTTTTATTTTGACCCATTTCTATATATACAAATCTTGGTTTTCAGATTAAAATATACAATAGGCATTTAATCTGATTTCATTAAATGTATTTGATCTCTTTTATTGAAATGTTTTTGTTATTCTAAATAGAATAATGCATATTCTATTTTTAAATATGGTATGTGAAACATTATGCATTATTTCATAATGTGCACAGTATACTTTCTGCAAACCTTTTGGCAATGCTAGTTGCTAAAAAGTTGCTATACCATTAGTTATCAAAGACTTGAACACTCACGTTCCTCTCTCCGCATGTTTCCAGTATCTGTCCACCTCAATGTCCATCTGTGCATGTCTGACTGAAGTCTGTTGGTGTGTCCTTGCAGGCAAATGAAAGACCAAAGCAAGAAGTTTGCCAACCTGAAGCACAAAGAGCAGGTGGAGAAGAACAAGAACGCTCAGTTGATGGAAGAGGCTCGTAAGCGAGAGGATAACATCAGCGAGAGTTCTCAACATATCAAGGTAAATCCACATGACGTTTATGTACGTTATTTACAGTTACGTACGGTTCATGAGTCTGTTCCAGATCAGACCTTACTCATGTGATGTTGCCTAATTGAAATGCAGGATGAATCCCTACGCCTTGTATTGGATTTCTGGCAAGCGTTTTACACACATAACCGCTGAAATCTGATGAGAGCAGTGGCTGTTATGGTCTTAACATTGAAACTTAACCCGTAATGAGGCCCATCAATCTTTTAAGAGGGTCATAGTCCCCCAAAAACCATGAGTTATTCACAATAGCTCAATCTTTTGTGCAGCATTTAAAGGTTTTCCTTTTGCGCTGCCTAGAAATGTGTCTCCTCAGAGCGATCCGTCTTCTGATTATATAGTTTGGATGTCAGCTCTGGTTCCTCATTTGAGAATTGCTGGGATGTTTCTCAGGTAAAGAGCGAGCTCATGTTTCCCTCATCCAGACCGCATTCACGCACATCCTGACCTCGTGTCCTCCTCTCATTTTGAGCTTTGGATTTTGGGAAAAGATAAAAGGAGAGAATAATTGAACAATGAAATAAGACAAAGTTGTTCAGTGCAACCGCAGGAACTATTTTTGAATCTATGGCTCCGTGATATTGAAGCAGCAGTGTCCGTATCCAGGTATCAGCGTATTTATTTTGAGCATTATTTGCAAATACAAACTACCTAGGCTGATGCAACTTTCATCATATTGACTATTTTTGCCCCGATTTGACAAGACGGTGGTCTGTGGTGGTCGTTCCCGCCCTTCTGGAGTGAGGGTTCGAATAGAAAGCCAGAATCAGCAGTTAATGTCTGTGAGAATCTCAGCGCAGAAAGTCCCACTTTTTATGGAGGGGCTGTTTTTCCTCTTTGCCGTAGACTTCTAGACAACAATGCCACAGCAACCCTCCCTTTGTTGTGGTTTTCGGTGTTATTCCTGGCCGTCGGTTTGTTCTTTTGATAATTCTCCGTTTTCACATTTTCCTTGTTCTGTGTCATGTGTTCTTTGTTTTCGTTCGAGTTCATATGCTCTTTTTCTGACAGCAGGATTGATGTGCTATTGGACTTCGACCAGTGGTACCCGGCAACTGGTGCATCAGTGTGTGCGTGCGCACAAGTACGTGTTGCGGTCAAAGAGAGCTCATTTATGACTTCAGGGTCCCAGCTTCCTCCGTGGGGTCACATTGCCACGAGCCCACATGTGGCTTGCACTCGAAGCACCCTGATGCGGCTGCATCGAGGGCCTCGTCTGGAAGCGGCACCAGCTGCTTCCTTCAGCCAAGACCATCAACCACCACCTTCCCCCACAGGCATGTCACGATCCGGCCTTGAGGCCCTGAGACTCCAGATCAGGCGAACCCCGAGCTGATCTCCACACGCTATTGGACGCGTCAGGCGTGTTTGGAAGGGAAACCAATTGTTGTGTGGTTACGGTGGTCCCGCTCCAATCGGTTGGTCAGGGTGAGCTGAGAGAGAGGTTAGTCCAGGACACCAGAGCGATCCTCTCTCTCTCTGACCCGGTGCTAAAAATGGCTTTTTCAATCAATTAAGAAGGTTTCCATTGGAGCCCAGAGGTGGGATGTGGGGTGGTCGGTTGTGGTTGAGCACCAGAGCTGCACAAACACATTTCGAAATAGCAACTGTTGACATTGGAGAAGGTTAGATGGTCAGAAAGGAAGGACTCTCGCTTCTATTTTTTGATTTTCCTGCTGGTGGCGTTGTGCTGCTTCCACATGATTTGATCCAATCATTCTTCTAATTAGTGGTGCTTTCTTAGGCAAGCATAATTGTAACTTCGAACAAACCTCAAGCTTCGAACAAAGCTCAAATTGTGCTCAAGCTGAATTGGCCTTAACACACAGGAAGTTGAACTGAAATTGGAATGACAGGAAGTGGAAATTACCAAATTACAATTCAAAGAAATACAACGCAGGTAATGTAATCTAGGAAATTAAGTGGTGTTCAGCAAATCTGTTTGTCTGTAAGTCCTATAAAACCTTCAAACTTCAATACTTAAAAACTAAAAACGGACCAACTTTCATGCAAAAATTTCTTAAAAATTGTTACGTTATTTTTTAACAATACATATTAGTGTTATATGAAATTGAGAATTTAAATTCAGTTTGTTCCTACTACAGATTCAACTCTTTTTCCTTTTTGCAATCTCTTTTGAAATTTAATTCAAGTTCAATAATGGATTTTGAATTAAAACACTGTGAAACCAATTTTTTTTTTTTTTTAGAAAAGTCGTGTTTTGCTATTATTTTTAAATGTTTCTTTATGAAGTTTTACATGCTGAATATGAAAATCACATTACCTTTTGTGCATCATTAACAATGCTTATGAAAACTTATGTTGACAACTTATACAAGCTAATCTGTTATTAGTCATGCAGTTATCAAAAGTGAGTCGTCCAAAACTTCAGAAGTCTATGTTGGATGATTTTTGTCTTTTATGACTAGTCCCACAATGTTCTGGAATGTTCCAGAAATCACTAGAAAAAAACATCCAAAATTAGTGCAAAACCCATCTGTAATTTCATAATTAATGATAGAAGTTCTAAAATTAACCTGACCAAATTATTTACCAAAATATTGAAGCTACAATTCAAGTTCAATAATGGATTTTTAATTAAAAAACTGTGAAACCAATTTTTTTTTTTTTTTAGAAAAGTCGTGTTTTGCTATTATTTTTAAATGTTTCTTTATGAAGTTTTACATGCTGAATATGAAAATCACATTACCTTTTGTGCATCATTAACAATGCTTATGAAAACTTAAAAAATATGTTGACAACTTATACAAGCTAATCTGTTATTAGTCATGCAGTTATCAAAAGTGAGTCGTCCAAAACTTCAGAAGTCTATGTTGGATGATTTTTGTCTTTTATGACTAGTCCCACAATGTTCTGGAATGTTCCAGAAATCACTAGAAAAAAACATCCAAAATTAGTGCAAAACCCATCTGTAATTTCATAATTAATGATAGAAGTTCTAAAATTAACCTGACCAAATTATTTACCAAAATATTGAAGCTACATGAAAATAAATATTATAATAATAATTAGCACCACAGAATTACAGAAGAACCATAAAAAAAGTGAAACTGATTTTTTCGTTACATTGTGAAATCATTTTGAATTCATTTCTGGATTGCTCATTGGTACTGTAACTAACCCCAACCCTAACCTTGGGTGACTACTAACAAAAAACCTAGAAACCACTTACAGTAGTACACCAGATAGCAACATGCTATTTACTTGGAAGTGACTTTTTGATGGGAAAGAATCAAAATGTCAATGTCTGGTTAATTAAGTTTAGCTGTTAGTTTCCATAGGATGAACAAATGGGGCGCATACACTGCAGAGAATTGCAATGCAAGAGAGGGTCTTTGATCAATGACCCTCAAGAGCGAGACTTTATCCTCTTCTGAGTCATCCCTATCCTTTTTCATTTATCTCTCTAGCCTGATAAAACTTGAGATGGGTTTTTATAGGCCTCCACATCTCTTCAAGCCGTGCCGTATCTCCCCCCCCCCACTCCTCCCGCCAATCAAATATCATCAGCCTGAAGAAATCAAGACTTTCGCTGGGAAACAGGATGGAGTAAGACAGTGGGGGAGAAAAGATGACATTATAATGAAGCCCAGTAAATACCTGTTTTACTGCGTGGTTGAGTCTGTTCTCTTTTAGTGCACCGCCTTACTGATTGCAGCGCCAAATGCTCTGACTCCCAGCATGCCCTGTGACCAGAAGAATCCCAATCTCCACCTTGATCGGCCTTCACCAAAGAAAGATTCGACGGAAAAATTGAAAGAGAGAGTTGGAAAGAAAATAGAAAAGTCAAAGAATGGAAAGGTACATCCAGTCAATATGCTTCACCTCAGAAAGGGTGAACATATTCCGCCACATAGTTTGTGCAATCATCAAAGCAAGCTCAGAAACCGGTGCAATGTGTGCACTACTCCAGAGAAGCCATTAGACTGACGCCGGAGCGCCGCACATTGCGAATATCGGTTGTAAGCCATAGGTCTTCTGTTTATAAGTCTCCCAGACCCTTTTATGTTTGGCACAATGTGCTCTCGTGTGGTTGTAAACATCAGCACTCAAATGCCGAGAGCTTAGAGTGACACCTTTAGTGTGCAATTGTGGAACAGTATTTTATAACATTTGGCGAGTTAGGGATCATGCTGCTAAGTGCTCTTACAAGCACTGGTGGTCTTTTGTGTTTTGCATGTAAATTTGTGCATGGTTAAGAAAGCCTGAATATACTGTATGCGTACTGTCGGTTGATTTAGTGTCATGATTTTATTATTTTTTTTATTTTCATAGCAGGGGATTCCTAAATGTAAAAAAAAAATAGATGAAATCTAGAGAAACTAGTCAACCTCAGTAATCAACCATCCTGACCCATCCACATTTCTAATTCGAAATTAGACACATATATGTGAAGATTTATGTAACAGGTACACATCTGCAATCTTGCAGCTTCTCATTGGTCTTTCTGCTTGTGTTCGCATTTGCAGGCAAATGAAAAGATCTGACAGGTGATGGCGGCACACTGGAGTTAATAAACCAAAGTGCTGCAGGCGAATCACAGGTTTATGGTCCTTTTTAAACACACAGATATAAAAGAGTCTAACAGGAGCCTTTTATGACTCGCTGGCCTGCCGATGCTGCTTTTATTCAGGGGGAGCGCATTACTGTCCCTGAGGGGGGAGGCCTTTTTTCATCCTAAATGTAATTTTCTCAGCCTGCCATAACAGACTGGTCGCATGCTGTGCAACATCGAGGATCCATGAGGAAGCTATAATTGGCACAGGACAGTTTTAGGAAATGTGATTCAGTTCAATGAATGAGCAAACCTGGTTTGCGAGTTTTAGCTGGTGTTTTTATTTTTTATTTTATTTTGAGTTTTTGTTTAGGTTTTTTTGTTTTGGTTTGTTTTTAATTTTGTTTTGGGTTTTTTGTTTCGTTTAGAATTTTGTTTTGTTTGACTTTTGGCT